CCTAAAAGTATATATATTTAACCAGCATCATATATACAATTTCGCCAAAACTTTAGCAAGTTAGACAAGCCCTCCGGAAACCCGGAATATCTCCGGTATGCGGTGACCAGGATTTTTTTAGTGACTTCACCGTAGAACAATATTAGTTTTCTAGTCAAATGATTTTGGAAGTTTTAAAATCGGATCATATTTGACGAAGTTACAACACTCCAAAGTTGACCAAAAATTTGCCTATCCTAGTTATTTTGAGGAACCCCTGTATATTAAAGTGATCTTTTTCACAGCACTGCAACGTTTGTTTTAAATAAGATGGTGTGAGCATCCACAAAAGGGGAGGTGACCGTTATTATTTATTTACGGTGAGTCATGGTCATCATTGTGAGCCAAATGATTTTGGAGTGTTTGATCAAAATTTACATTTTAAACAGCAGTAGTTCTAGGTTAGTATTGGGTACCAATTACTCGTGGCGGGCTCGAGGTTAATGGTTAACAATTTCGATTGGAAGAATCTAGGTAGGAAACTGGCTTCTGAAGCCTCCTTGAGATACTACTCTCGAACGGTTGACCAAATCCTGGCTGGGCAGGGGCAAGTAGTATAGAAACAGAAGGATAATAAGACTGGGACACAATGTCTGGAAATTGTTTGGAAAGGAGGGTATGGTCACATCAAACTCCAATATCAGACAAACAAAGGAATTCGTAGATCGCCTGCAGTACCTCACACACTCATCACGATACGGTTGCTTTCCAAAGTCGACGACGCATCGACCGAAAGAACTGCTGATGAAGAACAATGAGGAGGACCACACAATCAGTGATGCCAGATATACAGATTTATCTGTAACCATACAGATTTTTTTCAATATTTTGATACAGATATCTGTATATACAAATTACAGATTTTTGAAAAATACACAGATTTTTTTTAAATTAGAAGAATATATTTTATATTATTTTTTTATATTTATAAATTCTAATATATAATCGTTTCTTACTTTTGAGCAGCTTGAATTCAAAGTGAGAGCATCAAACCCAAAACGTATTTTACACTAAATAAAATATGATGGGATCATCTTCGAATGGGCTTGGAATCTTTTGAATGGACTTCTGATGTTCAGATGTTCTGATTTCTCGTTGAAAGGGATATTAATTTCCCTTTCTTTATGTTTAATTTACATGGTGACAGATACAATATTTAATTAACTATATGTGTATGTCAAATTGGTAAACAAGTCATTTTAGTAAACCAGGGAATTTTCCGATGGAAACAAATTTGTTTCTCACTAAAGGGTGTCCACGATGAAATTGCCACACTATGGAATTGCTCTAACTTTTTAACCGTTGGGTAGAATTTAATGAAAATTTGGGTGGATTTAGTTCATAGTGCATTATTTACATCCTGCAAGTTTTAAAGTCCTGTGATCAAAACTCGCGGAAATGGAGTCGAAAGAACAGCTCGTGCGTGATAAAATCTTGCGCATTCATCACGAGAACAAGGATCTCTTGCATCGTTCCATCGCTAAAACGTTGGGAATCGCGAATTCCATGGTGTCGCGAGTGATTAAGCGGTTCGAGGAACGGTTGACCACCGATCGGAAGCCCAGAAGTGAAGGAAAAAGTATTTCGTACAACACCAAAAATCACAACCGCGTAGTTGGGGCCTTCAACCGAAATCCGAACGCCTCCGTTAGGGATGTGGCTAAGAAGCTGCACCTAAGCCGAAGTTTTGTCCAGAAGGCCAAAACTAAGGCTGGGCTTCGAACGTTCAAGGTACAAAAGGCCCTTAATCGCGACGAGAAGCAGAACAAGTCCGCCAAAACCCGTGCCAGGAAGTTGTACCTCAACATGCTGACGAAAGTTGAATGCTGCATCATGGACGACGAAACATATGTGAAGGCCGACTTCAAACAGATCCCCGGCAACCTGTTTTTAACGGCCAAGGATAAGTTCAGCGTTCCGGAGCATGTTCTCACTCAGAAGATGTCCAAATTTGCGAAGAAATTCCTGGTTTGGCAAGCCATCTGCACGTGCGGGAAGCGGAGTGCACCTTTCGTGACCCAGGACACGATGAACGGACAGGTGTACATAAAAGAGTGCCTCCAGAAGCAGCTGCTTCCTCTCCTGAAGGTCCACAACGTCCCAACAATCTTCTGGCCGGATTTGGCCTCATGCCACTACTCCAAGGACGTGCTGAAGTGGTATGCGGACAATAAGGTCAATTTCGTGCCGAAAATGTTCAACCCTCCCAACACTCCGGAGCTCCGCCCCATCGAGAAGTACTGGGCGATTATGAAGCAGCACCTTCTTAAACGACTCACGGTAGTGAATACAGTCGAGGAACTGAAGAAAGTATGGGTTTACATGCAAAAAACGGTTGATTCACAGGTTGTGCAGAATCTTATGGCCGGGGTTAAGGCCAAGGTGCGGGCATTTGCGTATGGACTGTAAATAAAATACGAGTAAAATGGTAAAATGAAGTTTAATAGTTATTTCTCAATCCCTGAAAATTTGATGGCAATCGGATGAAAACTCGAATTTTGCGAATCAATTTTGTGTGTGGCAATTTCATCGTGGACACCCTTTACTACTGGAACTTAATGTTTTGTATTTTCTGAATTTTAGAAAAGATACAAATCACTTAAAAATCCAGATTATAGGATTTCATGATTTTAAAAACGAAGGGTGATCAACTTCAAAAATCAGCTGAATTCTAAATATACACTTCGAAAAATACTCAAAAAAATCCATAAAAATACGTAAATGTGTACACGTTATAACTTAAATACCATAAATAAAATACACCAAAATGCATCGAAAATACGTTGTATACGAAAATACATTAAATAATGAATTTAACTCACTTTAAAACAAAAAAAAAACAACACTTAAAAATACATAAATACAGAAAATACAAAGTACACCTTTTCAATTCGGATAGATGAATCGAAGATACTCAAATTAACAGCCCCTCGAAAAACAAGAATGCAATTCTTTAGAAAGGAAACTTTAGTTATTTTTCAAGATTCTGAGCATTGAACAAACTCCTTCTGAACTATGAATGAACTCAATGAAGGTTTAGGTAAATCCACACTGAGATATTAATAAATAGATTTCAGTACCCGTTTGATTTTGGCACGGTTCGATTTTAGCATCATGCCAAAATCAACGGATTTTGAAAATAACGTACTTTTGTTCCATGTGATTACAATTTTTAATAAAAGAATAATTATTAATAACGTCTTTGTAATAAAGATGACTCACGGTGGTTCATAATCAGCGAAATTATAAATTAAATTTAAAAATAAAACCGTTCGATTTTGGCAACACCAAATTTTCGGGCTTGTTGCTAAAGTACAGATTTTTGTCAGCCAGATACAGATTAAAAAGATTTTTTTCGATGAAGATACAGATTGAAAATCAATAAAATATGGCATCACTGCACACAATGGTTGCTGCCGAGTAAACAGACGATCACGTGACACACATCAAAGTGGTCTACTTCTGTCGAAAGCCGAGTGAACACTGCGGATAGGGCTAATTGTCTTTATTTAGTTGGAGCTGCTTAAAGTCAAATATCAGACTTAAAATGATAAATTTATACGATAGATGAGGAGATGAAAGTAAAGAGTAGATCCGTTAAAGTACAGCAATGTAAAAAGAGAGTAGAAAGCGAGCAAAGATCAATTTTGAAGAAGGCACGAATCGGGTTGATCATCCCCTTTACCAAACTCCTCTGTTGGAAATCATGGAAGAGGCTATCGTTGACAAGGAGACTGCAATCACCCACAGACTTCTTATTCAATTACACGAGACTGCCAGGAATATTATTTCGGAAAAGGACATTCACTTAGTAAAACTGAAAAAGAGGTAATTCTAATTCTCACAGAACTAAAACCAAAGCCGGTATTCTATACAAAAGTGGACAAGTAGTTATTTTGGACAACGAGGACTATGACAATTGGATGACGGAAACAAAAATACTAATGGCCCATACAGACAGTTTGAAACTGTTCTTTTTACTCCACTAGGGTCAGAGGGACTCCTGACTATGCCCCTGGCTGCTGGTCAAGCCTACGGCAGCCGTTCTGGGTGGGCCTTACAATGGCCTGGAGAACTGATAGTGTCACTTTTATGATTATTCACCTAGAAAAATTTCAACGTTTTTAGCACCTTTTGTGCTAATCTTTGATTACTAGGTTATGTTCTATTTTATTATAGCAAAGTGGACAAACTAAAAAAGTGGAAAACAAGCAGAGAACATAGATAGAACTTTCAAGCAAATAAATAATTTTACGAATAGCTGAATTAAGTTAGACCTTACTTTGTATTTATTTTGAGGGAGTTTCAATTAGAGTGAATAGAGTGGTGAGAAAAGGCAAAAAGGGTTCATTCAGTGCTTGCGCATTTATTACTCCATCCACTAGTTACTGGGGTTATGAATCAAACTCTAGCATGGCCTATAATAAATCTAAAAAATCAAAATGAAGCATTTAGAGTACATGTAACAAACGTACGCCAGTATTTTGGTGCAACTATTTTCAACAATGATTTGAGGTTTATATGCTAACGTGAGCATGATAAATATTTTTAGTGATCAAATAAAATAGGCTTTTCCTCAGATGAAAACAAGCATTCAGAAAAAAAAGTTAAATGACGAAACACTACAATACAGAAAGGGTAGGAATGATTAACAGCCTAGCAAAAACCAACGCTATTTTTTTTTCAGAATAGAAAAAAAAAACTTATTAAATTTTGAAACAGCAAAATACATCGATACCTATTCTCAATTTTCCCATTCAACTGCTGAAGCCGAAAATCCCTACAAAACCAACTTGCTTTACTTCTTCACCATTCCACCATTCATCTGGCCCTGAGACATCAAAGTCTACATCACAGACAGACAACCCAGCCCCCAACCCGAACCTATATCGGTCGCTAAAGGTAGCTTCTATCCGGCACCGGACACGGCAGGAAAATCAATTATTTGAAAAATATCAAACCTTTTCACCAGCATCCAGCATCCAGCATCAGCAGCACCACACCGCATCGATGACGTCGTTGACTGGCAGAGCCAAAACCTTATTTATTTCTCTGCAATCCGAAGGAAGAAGGCGCACAAAGTAAGATCCGTGTTCCGTTCCGGTGCGTGCTTTGTAGTGTAGTCAGAAACTTTCTCACCCCGTTTTTTCCCTCAGAGCAACCGGACCGGCTTTCTTCTGTGGGAAGCCCTCTGGGCATCTAGCAACTTTCTTCTTCAACAAACACCAGCAACAATTCACACTGCGAGAAAAAAAAAAACGATCGATAACATCACGCTATTATCGTCTTCATCACCATCACCATCATCATCATCATCATTAGGATTTCCTTCTTAGTAAACTTGATTTCCAGCTTTCAGCCTCTTGTAGCCCAGAGGGGGCATCGATATCACTTTCTTCGTAATCAACAACTCAATTTATCATTTCTCTCTCTGCTCGCGTCAAGATGTGTATGCAAGCTTCGGAACGTTGAAAGTTAAGCTCTATTTCCTGTGAAATGCTCCTAATGGGACATGGTTCACCGTCTTCTGACCTTCCACAGCCTCACTTTATATATTCATTCGTAGCATTCCGAACACTGATGAAGACAGAGCACAGGTCACACTTTTAATTCCGTGCCAAAACTTTGTAAAATTTTATCTCACTCCGGAGGCCAATATCGCAAAAGGCTCTCTGTCAAGGGGGGGTGGGAGCGATGTTTTTACTATCCACGTCGACCCAAATCACATATTCTCACGGTATTACCTCGGTTTGAAGTCGTAGATTTTGGAACGAACCACCGGTCTTGTTTTTTTTTTGCTTCGCATTCCCAGAGGGAGAATACCGAATCCTGATGAAAGCGAACCGAGGAAACGGTTTTCAATTTCGTTCTAACAACCCCCTCTGGCACGCTCGGCAGGGTAGGAGACGGCAAACTCCAAGTACACTTTGGCCTGTTTATGCTGATGATATTACCATTTTTATTTCATTTCACTTATTCATTCCAACAGCATGTAAATTATCTCGGAAAACTTCAACCGTTGATAGCGACCGAAAGGTTTCTTCTGTTTTTCATCCATAGCACAGTCCCGAGAATGCCTGGAAATCTACACCTCTCGAATTCCCTCACATTATCCACTTTTTCACCACTCAGATTTGCTAAAATAATACACCTCGATGAAACTTTGAATAAACACGTACCTCACGATAGAAAGCGCTCCCTTTTCACCCGCAACTCGCTTCGCACCGGAAGTCAATGAAATATCCCTTATTCATTAAATTCATACGCCCAGCCACTTCACCTTGAACACCACAAAGCATCACAACTGCTCCGTACGGTACATCGTCAAAAAGCATATCGCTAGCGAGAACACGATTAGGGCACCCTCCTGTTTGCCACCCACGGCAATCGACCCCACCATAAGAGCAGTTACTACATTCGTACACCTGGAGCCGAGTTTTGTTCCCCGGCAAAATCACACAAATGAATATTTTTTGTCACCACATTCATTCGCACACCCCTGCCTAGGTTAATCTATTCACACGCGTGATAAACTCGCGTTTATCCGGTTGGGAAATTCACCCTCTTCTACTGATTCGAGCAGCGCCGAAAATTTTTCGAAATCGTACGGCGGGCGACACTCGCGCGAAGCAATTCCGTGACACGACGCGACCGAAGTTAAAGTTGTACTAAATCCTTGAGCCCCGAGACTTGGAGCGGCAGCACGCACGGCCAAGGATTGCAGGAAATTTACGTCCCCCACTTGTGCCCCACCGTCTGACAATTTCACGTCACGATGGGACCTCAAAGGAAAATCAACAACACTGAGATTAGGAGCATAGAGTGCTCGCGTTTTCTCCAGCTCGGATGGGAGTAATTGAGAGACATGTTGGAGCATTGGGAAAATGAGCTTCTCATTCTCCGTGTTGGGGCAAACTTTGACAGATGCGGGAGAGGCTCCCAGATGTCCATGTGATGGTTGTTACTGCCGGAGAAATGAGGCTCTCTCTGCGAGCAAGGGATGTTTTTCCTAATGAGAGAGGGAGGGAGATAACTCGGAGACGATCTCCCGTGAGAAAATGGGAAGCATTCGTTTGGGGTAACAATTTTCCGGACACATTGGAAATGTTGGCGCTACTATCGCAAAGAGGCCGTCTGATAATGGACGGTTGAGTATTCGAAAATTAAATCGGCGCTTTTTTTGTTATTACTATTATTATCATCTTACATAACCTTTACAGAAGAGGCATTCAACTCGGAGGCTTATTGATACCGAAAGCAAGTTTTTGAGCGCTATAAAGTATATGAAATTGTTTATATAAAACTGTTCGTTCCCCAGGTTTCGACAGCATCCTGAATCTGGAACTCAAACACTTGAGTTCCAGATTCTACAACCATCTGGCACTGATTTTTAGTCAGCTAAGTCATACCCATCCATTATTTAGTGCATAGCATCAATGAATTTCAGCTTCGGCTGGGCATATACTGTAAATTGTATTTACTTGGCCACAATAACCGGTGTGTGATGCCCGAGCCTGGAAGCGATCGTGTTACGTCGTCTGTCGGCTAGTCGTTACAGTAATCAGTGCCTAATTCGTCGCCGGTGATGCTCGTTGTGGTATGAATCACCACCAAAATCCAAGGAAGGTGCCCGAAATCGAGTTCTCCGAGAACTGATTCACCTCACTCATCGATGCCGATTAGTGTCCAACGATTTCACAAAATCACAAGACTTTGGTGGACATATGTTTGTTCTCACATACCTGTATGGTGGTATAACAACACTCTGGTGGTCCTACAATCCTTGATGATCGCCGAAAATGACCGAGTTCGTGTCAGCTGCGATCACTTCCAACAATGTGTCGACTCCACTGTCGACTACGGACGCTCGAATACGTTGACCGGTGTCTGCATTCCATCGAGAAGGTGATATCCCGGGCCAGGGAACAACACGTGCCAGTATCCAGACAGGTGAGCAATACTCTGAACCTTGACAGATCTACCAAAGATCTTGTAAGACTCCGTAACACCATCCGAAGGCAGGAATAACGCTCTGGTCTGCCTCTCCTTAAGACCCACTGTAATCGCCTAACAAAAACCATCCAAGCCAGGATGGTGGACCTCAGAAATTAGGACTTTGCTAACAGAATCCACTCTCTTCCAGATTGTTCAAAGGAAACTAACCAAAATTCTTAAAATAAGCCAAGACCCATTCCACCACTGACCCCACTAGATCGTTACGGCGACCCAGTGGTTCATCTGATAACTCCTGAAGAGAAGGCAGCCGCGATAGGTCAACACTTCGTCAGCTCCCGCAATCTCAGACAATACATCGTCAGCCCTCAGAAATCTAAGGTTGCTGAAAATGCAACCAATCTTCATCAGATTCCTAACATTTTTCCAGAGGAATCCGAGATTACGGCTGAGGAGCTGTTGGCCTTTATTAAATCATCTGAAAACATGAAGGCCCCAGGTTTCGACAACATCCTGAATCTGGAACTTGTTCACTTGAGTTCCAGATTCTACAACGATCTGGCTCTGATTTTTAATATGTGCCTCCGACTTGGCTACTTCCCCTCGTGCTGGAAGTCCACCGTCCTCTCCTTCAAGTTATCGACCAATCAGCCTTCTCTCAGGGTTATCAAAACTGTTCGAAAGAGCAGTCTACCACCGGCTTCTAATATCTGCCATAGAAAACAATTTGTTACTCGAGGAACAGATTGGTTTTCGGAAAGCTCGTTCGACCGTCCACCAGCTGACTCGAGTAACAAACATTCTCAGCCGGAGCAAGTCTGTTTCGAAAACATCTGTTGTTGGACGTTGAAAAAGCGTTCGACAATGTCTGGCATGATAGCTTGGTGTTCAAATTGCAGCACTACGGTCTTCCAATCTTCCTAGTGATGATAATTAACAACTACTTATCGAACAGGACGTTCCGAATCTCTCTGAATGGCATCACATCGGATGCTTTCAACATCGGTGCTGGGGTTCCACATGGAAGCATCCTTGGACCCATTCTATTCAACCTGTTCACCTCCGAAATGCCGGCTCTCCCTAATGGTGGATCGTTGTCTCTGTTCGCAGATGACACATCCATCGTCTACAAGGGTAGGGTCATCGGAGCTCTGACTGCCAAACTTCAGAGAGGCCTGGAATATATTAACTGCTGGAAGATCCATATCAACGCGGCAAAGACCCAGGTCATCATATTTCCACACTCTAAATCTCTCAGACTTGTTCCGTCGATGAATAATAAGATATGCCTGAACGGCACAGTGGTGGAATGGTAGAAAGAGGTAGCCTTCCTCGGCTTAGCACTGAACAGGAAGCTGATTTTCAGGGAGCACGTTGACAAAATCAAAACCAACTGTAACATCTTGATAAGATCACTGTATCCACTCATCAACAGGAGGTCTACTCTATCCCTGAAAAATAAGTTTGATGTCTACAAACAAATAATCTTACCCGTTATAGAATACGGGATGCCAATCTGGGAGAGTTGCGCCAAATCACCTGAAACTCCAAAGGATCAAGAACAAGATCTTTAAGATGTCCTTTAACAGTCCTCCACGGACTAGAAACTTCGAGATCCACCTCCTGTCTGGAATTCAGACATTAGAAGAACGGAGTGTATTCATCCTGGAAAGGTTTAGAGACACCTGTCTGAGATCAAATCATCAGATCATACGTGATCTAGCACGCTAGGTTAAGTTAAACTCGTAGTTTGGTAGGTTTTCACTTTTGACGTAGGACTACGTCTTTGATTACTATATGAGGGTACACTTTGTGAAAACCGAAAATGGAACATTGTCCAAAAGCGTCGAATTAACTAACAAATCCACCAATTACCTACATGCATATGCTGCTTCCCCAGCACAGTCGTCAGAGAGTAGTAAGTAGACGAAACAAGTCGAAGTGGCATTCGCTTCCGATCTTCGGGTGCGTAGGAAAAGGGAGGATGGAATTGTGTAATATTTTTCACACTCATCGCCATATTCAGAACCAAACGTAAATTCTTCAAGATAACCACCATCCATCATCTGGCTCGCCGTGACGGTGTCTGACGTATCTCCGGTCTGATTTACGAGGTGTGCTGAAGGTATTTCTGAAAAATGAGATCCATGATGCTGTCACCTACACTAAACACGCCAAGCGTAAGCGGCCATGGATGTCATCTACGTTTTGAAGTGACAGAGATGCACTCTGTTTGGTTTCATCACCAACTTTGGCAACAAAACGGCTCTTTTCAGGGCCACCAAGCTTTTTACAGTAAAAAGTAGGAATAGGATTCATCTGCCTGTTTGTCCATATTCAGAACCAACGACCACACAAAATGCTCATGTAATCAAACTGGAAGCAGGGGTACAAATTATTTTGATCAACCTTCATCATCTTTGAATCGCCACGGCCGGATATTTTCAATGAAAGAAGCAAAAATCTAGCATCTAACTCGACGAAGATGGCAGGAAACATTTGTGAAGCCAAGTTATTTACGAAAGAGAGTGTCGATGAAGAGAATCGATCAATGGAGATAGGACCTATTGAAAAGTGACGCGAGATTTGTTTTCCATACTGAGCTCCAATGCTACAGACGCCAGGGAGACAGCGCACACACCTGGACCCTACATATCGACCCATCAACTCAACCGGGGACCCAGGCCTGCTGGGGTGAGAGGTAATCACGCTAACCACCGGCGCCGATATCTTTCAAGGTGATGTCACGGCGAATGAGAACGACCCAAATTTGAGTTTAGTTATCTCAGACATAAGAAATAAAGTGCAGGAGCTCAGCGATGAGTAAATTTGCCTCGTGTTTTACCATGTTTTTCCAGAATTTTCCAGGATTTTCTGATCGATTGGTGATAAAATTATTGAAATTGGACCAGGGGCAGCTGAGTTATTAACGTTCAAAATCTTTCTTAATTTGTTACATGTTCCATTTTCGGTTTTCACAAAGTGTACCCCCATGTAGTAATCAAAGGCGTAGTCCTACGTAAAAAAAATGAACTTGAACTTTTGATGATTCCGTTGCAATATCGTGCGCTTAATCCAAAAAAGTAATCGAAAAAAATCTCAGTAGGACAGTTTTGGAGATACAGCTAAAAAATTAAAATGCACTTTAAAAAAGTTTGTTTACCAAAATACAAATATCTCCGGTTGTAATATCATTATATCAATTATTTTAACGCCAAATTAAAGGTAAGAAATTTGTCTTCCTTTTTTTTGTTTTAAGCATCAATTGTATTGTATCAATATTGTGTGAGCTTGCTGAAACTACCGATACAGTCATAAATAGTTTTGGGAGTCTATAATCTGCCTAGACTATAATGGCAATTTGATGCCGACATGAATTCTTACATCCCGACCAACGCTTCATCTGAACAAGGAATCGCTTTGACCCAGTCGATCCTTGCATGTGGATTACAGCAGGTTCAGGATGTACGTAACGTAAACGAGATTACTTGACGTGGCTTTCGTTAGTGATACTGAAAGAATCGAACTTTTTGAATCGCCCTTTGGAATTTTAAAACTCGACGCTCATCACAAATCTTTTATCATCACTACCTACTACCATCACTACCTTCGTAATACTGACGACGTTGGGCTGGACCGCTGTTATTACGATTTCAACTTATGCAATGAACCCCTTATCAACGCCCGG